GTAATAGGGGAAGACTGCAGGAGGGAGTGGTAAAATACAGGGGGTCCCCAGCAAAAACAGGAAACATTACGAGTCTGATGAATCCCGCTGGTTTTCCATCAGGCAGTCACGGCCCAGTGACCGAGCTCAGAAGAAGTGTTATTTTCCCGCTTCAGAAGAAGCGTCCAACGTGTTTTTACGCTTTCTCCGAGACATGTCACGTCGCTAAGTTGTTAGCGCCGCGCGCTAAGGAAACCCTGCGTTCCTCTTCGGAACGAAAACCTCATTGTCGCTCTCAGCCGCGGCCGAAGCCATGTTTGTTCACACACAGGTGAAAACAAGCGGTGCACTAATATATTACTATGACTCACTCTGATTGGTTAAGGGTCAAACAAAGGCGTGTCATTCGCCTGAGGTAAGTTCCATTTTCATTCAGAGGCAGAAATTCAACAGCAGAGCTGTGAATCGTGATGAAAAGGTCTCTCAAAAATGACAGACCGTCAGATGTGTAGATCGTAAAACGGCCTAAAATCGTCATATCGCCCAGCCCTAATTGAAGCATGGTTGAAAAGCAATTTCTGGCATTCAATGGTTAAATTTCATAGATTTGTTTTACTTATTATTACTTCTGTCAGACTCAATTTATTTCTGTGACCATTGTGGGTTTTTCTTTAATTGACCAAAGGGTACCAGCAATTTTGTCCACGTCTGTACTACATGACATTTACCCATCGACATATAAATATTGGACAATGGGTTTCCATGGGCTCCAATAACACGTTTTTGAGGCCAAATGGGAGGTGGCCACCACCGCCATTTTGACCATGTCACAGGTTCCGCCAAGCCCAGACAATTCCACAAAAGGGAAGGGAGGTGGAGCTGAGGGTGGGGCTGTAAGGCTGGTATCAACTGACGACACCCGGTCAACTAGCTACAAGCTAACCTGAAGCTAACCCAAAGCTAACGCGGAGGTGGGAGCTAAGCTAACGGAGGTAGCAACCTAGCTACACCCGGAGTTAACTGTGCACAACACCAGAGCTTCTGAGTCAGAGATACGCCGGGCTGACCGTTGGGTAAAAGCAGGTGGAACACAGAGGTCTCCGAGAGCTCCACAAGCCGGCAGCCGCTGCGATCTGAGATGCGCAGAGCTGCCGCTGGGGAGAACCGGGTGGAAGGGTTTCCATCCCAGAGCTCCACAAGCCGACAGCCCGTGCAGCAGACAGAAGCCGCGATCAGACAGAGATGTGCCGAGCTGCAGGGAGACCCAGCCGGCAGCCCGGCGCATCAAACAGAAGCTGCGATCAGACAGAAATGAGCCGAGCTGCAAGGAGACCCAGCAGGCAGCCCGGTGCATCAAACAGAAACTGCGATCAGACAGAGATACACCGAGCTGCGGGGAGGGGAGAACCAGCCGGCAGCCCGCGCAGCAGACAGAAGCCGCGATCAGACAGAGATGCGCCGAGCTGCGTGGAGGAGAGAACGGGTGGAAAACAGAGGTCTCCCGAGAGCTCCACAAGCCGATAGTCGGAACCCAGCTCCACCAACCCATTTTCTAAAGTGCAGCATTATGTTAAATGCACTGAGTTTTACCCTATTACATTTAAATTTCATTGTTAAACAGTACATGTTAAAATCTAAGCTCAGCTCGGCAGTGACCTAAAATACATAGATATAATTTTACTTACCGAAAAAAATAAAGTGGAGACTCCTTGGACGCTCTATTGGTGCAATTAATGCCACAGCAAGTCATTTTGTCCAACAATTCCACAAATAATATCCAAAAAAGAATACACAAACACAGAGACTCAAATGCCGGAGCAGTTTCCAGGCCAGACCGAGGCTCCACTGAGGCCTTTCCACGGAGCTAGCTCTGTGGTCACGTGGGTCTGAGGCGGTGGTCACGTGGATCTAATGATCAATACAGAATTTTAGGCTTTTGATACACTTAAACAGAAGAGTGAGAAAAAATTCACCCCCCTCAGAGTTGTCATGAGTGTAAACTAGATAATTTAAACCAAAAACATGTTTTGGTACCAGGCTGTAAACATGTTTATTTCTGCTGTGAAATTGGTATTTTTAACATGGGAGTCAATGAGGATTTGCTCGCTTCTGACACCAGCCCCCAGCGGATGAGGGTGAAACTGCAATTTTTGGTACTTCCGGGCAGGGGCGTCGGACTGGGGGGGGAAAGGGTACCGTTTACCCAGGGCCCACTGCAGGGAGGGGCCCTGAGACAGCTTTGAATAAAAATGTTTTATTGTTGTTGTTTTTTTCCCCCAACTTACTTAATGTCTTAATAAATTTCCCTTTACCTGGAAAAAGAGGTTAAGAAACAGAATTTCGCCTTAAAAATAATAACTGAATAATCTCTGAGGCATCTATCACCCCTTAAAAATGTGCAAAGTGGTTTAGTCCACACCAGCGGCCAGGGGCTGCCCGGCTGCATGTGCTAATGAGACATCGCAGATGCCGACAGCCAGAGCTGGAGGCAGGAGAGTCAGTCATGTCTTTTCCCAAGAAAGGGAAATCTGGCTTCCAGAAAAGAAAAGAAAAGAAAAGAAGGAGAAGGAGGAAAAGTTAATTGAACAGAAGCAAGTAGAAGGAAGGTGAGCAGCAGCAGCAGAACACAGTTTTAGCTGATATTAGCTAGCTCTCAGAAGCTGCATTCATGTTAGGTGTTCAGTGTTAAACACCTTTAGTTTCACCATCAAGATCAAATATAAATTAATTAGTGTTATCAGTGAAAACACTAATTTTAGGGATAAGCCGGATACTCATTTCAGACGAGTATCCGGTACGGATAACGCATTTTTGATGAATACGAGCATGAAACTAGTAAAACGAGTCATTCTCTGTAATCGTGCTGAAGGAAAATCTTCATTGGGTAACTGACTGTCTTCACGCTCTGTGATTGGCCAGTCACATAGAGCGCCCGCCCCTCCCTACTTACAAAACTCTCTAGCCGACCGGGAGCTCAGTCCGGCCGGCTCATCCACGCACACACACAGACAGTAACGGATCGCGCTGTGATGGCTTCACTGTTGCTCACGTTTCTTCAGTTTTCCCTAGGTTTTCTTCAGCTCGCCTCTTTTTCGGTTGAATATTTAAAGTTACTTTTTTCGTAACTGACATGGTGCATTTGACAAGACAGAGCTGACGTGCTGTTGTCACTACCTCCGCTCCGGTGGGGTTTTTAATTTTTTCTCTCTCTCTCTCTCTCTCTCTCTCTCTCTCTCTCTCTCTCTCTCTCTCTCTCTCTCTCTCTCTCTCTCTCTCTCTCTCTCTCTCTCTCTCTCTCACACACACACTCACACACACACATTAATCAACATTTCTTTGTTAAACTTTGTGTGGGAAAATGCCAAGAACGTTAAGAAAAAAAAATCAGTTTAATCAAATTAAAATAAAAAAAATATATAAAGTTGTGTCTGGTTCTAGCATTTCATATTTCCTAGTTCCTACTGCATGGGTTCAGATGTATTAATCCATGCACTCAAATATTAATGTTCTGATTTTATTGAAACACTTTTTCTGTAATAGTTTCTTTACTATTGTGATCAAAAATATTTAATCTCACTTCTGAGGCTGCTCTGTAAATAGTTTTCAAATAAACAATACACATAGCAACTTCTGATCAATCCATATAAATTTCAGACTTAAAATAATACATTGATGTAAACCATGTCCACTTCCGGTTAAACCACGCCCACTTCCGGGTTATGCCACGCCCATTCCGAGTACAGATACAGATAGTGGTGTACTCGCTCATCCCTAATATATATATGTATATATATATATATATATATATATATATATATTAAAATCAGAATTATTATCGCGGGCGGCCGCCGCCAATTAATTCGCGGACCTCGCAGTAAAAACAGGTTCACTCTGTGTGGATATTTCAGCTCCTTCCCAGTCATGGACCAGGACAAACTTGGTATCGATGGATTCGTGGTAATCTCAGGAATGAGAAGCTGCCACTGTTTTTCGTATAGCATGACGACACTGGTGTTAGAGGATTGTTATTGACTTGGTTAGATATTTTAAGCCTATTTTAAATTTCTTTATATTTGATCTTGAAAACGGACAATCTTATAATTTGGCTGATAATGCAGGGATTATAAAATTTAGAGTGCATTACATTCACAGAGAGAACCTGGTTTATTTCATGTCATATGTATTTAATATATCAATACATATAAGTATTAGCAAAGCTTAACATCATGAACCATGACAGACATGACTGAAGAGCAGATGAAGACATCATGCCAGGCACTGATGAGAAAATATTACAAGGATCTCACAGCTGAATTTGAGAATGAGATGCTACACCTGAGAACAATATATGGTGCCACATTTCCACACATTCGGTCTCCTCTTGAGCTGCTTAATGCCATACAGGATGCAATTACAGAGCATTTTTGGAGAAGTTTGTATTGGACTGAGGATTTTTTGCACACTGCCTGTGACTGTTGCTGGGGGTGAACGGGCTTTTAGCAAACTGAAACTGGTGAAAAATTATTTGAGATCAACAATGTCCCAGGATAGACTGAACAGCCTAGTTCTTTTTTCTATTGAAAGCCAATTAGCCAAAGGATTGGACTTTAAAGATCTCATAAGTGATTTTGCTAACATGAAGACCTGTCAGTGGGCATTTACAGGAAAATAAATTCCAGGATTTTTGTTTGAACACATTGTTGGCAAATAAAAATAATTATATGTGAAGTCTTGGCATTTCACTTTTATTATGCTGGCATTTGTATTTGCTCAATATAGAGGTTAAACTAAGATCATATTTATTATCTTGTCTTATAGCATGACAAAAAATGTGTCAGAGAGATATTAAGTAATTGAGCATGGGGGCCCACCTAGAAGACTTGTACCTAGGGCCCAGAATTTGGTGCTACGCCCCTGCTTCCGGGATTGCTTCAATTTTTGAGCCGCATTGTGGGGGCTTGCATTTACCATGTCCTACATTTTGGTTTTGGATGGTTTCTCTGGATTTGTGTGGTACTTACTGGTGGTGTTGTAGTGGATTCCATTGAACTGCTCAGGACAGGGTCTGGAAATCAGATTTCCTGCTGTACTACGAGGCCAACACGTCCCAATTCCATCCACAGAGAGATCACAAAACAGACCTGCAAACCGATCAATGGTCAATATCAGCTGCTGAAACCTTCAAACACATTTAGAGCCTCTTCTACCTCTACCTAAATCAGGGGAAGTTTCCACAGCTGTGGTTTGGTACCTAAACCTTCATCCATTTGAGCCTTATGATCTTTACAGACCAATTCAACATGTCCAAGGTCACATTTTGGTTTTGTCAATTGAATAATTAGGATGTTGTTCCTCCTTCTAGTGGCTGGAGATGTATTCTCAATCATCTATCCTCAAGAACACCTTAAGAACTCTTTGCTTTAGCCAAAGTGGCTGATAAGTAACATGATAAATGTTGCTGGCACCTTAGCAGAATCATTGTTATTGGGACTAATACACACATTGCACAGTGTGTTTCTCTCTGTCCACACACATCAGAGGCAACAGAACAGAACAGCATTAAATTACTTCCTCATCTTCCAAACAAAATTTTCACATTTTGGGGGATGATGGTGGCAGAGAAATTAAGTGCTTGTCTCATAACTGAAGGGTTGCAGGATCGAGTCCCGCTTAGTCTGTCACAGTTGTAGTGTCCTTGGGCTACACACTTAAGTAAAGTTGTATAGTTGTAGATCATCACCAGTGTGTGAATGTGTGTGTGCATGGGCAAATGACTGGATGTGTTGTGAAGTGCCTTGGAGGTTGTGGAACTATGGAGGAGGCTAAATACTAGGCCATTTACCATTTTGGAGAAAACAAGTGGCCCAGAAGGTACTATGGTCAGTCTGAACAAAGAGCAAAATTATGCTTAGAAGTTGCTGCTTTGCTTTATTACTAGCAAATGTTTAAAGGCACGATGAGGTAAAAATTACATCCTGTGATCAAATTTGATTACTACAGTCACTTTCTCAATCCTGTTCCATGAGTTTCATGGCTGTTGCCAGTTAACAGATCAGCACTAGAATATTCTACATGACAAGCAAAAACCAGTCATACACAGTAAGCTGGTAAGTAGTTAAATACATAGTCAAATCTGATATTAGCACTCTTGAGTGTTTTATAGTAGGGAGCACTTACTACACTTATTATGGTAATATTTCTCTGGTATTGGAGGTAGTGTGATTTTTTTTTACCATCTTCCTGTTAGCTTGCTGTTATAGTTCTGAACAACTCATTAGTAAAACGCAATGATTGACTTGCTATTCACACATTTCACTGTAATATTGAGTTACTGGTAATAGAAAAAGTAGCTTGAGATATTTTTAGAGCAGACAATTTGCTTCTAATTCACCGTTAGCATTGTTAGCTCTACGTGTAGGAGTCATTTTAGTTTTAGTTTTTCTTTTAATTGCCGCTAGCGTATTATATAAGGGCAGTTGTAATTCAGGTTGAGTGTTGCTGATGTGGGGGAAGTCAAACAGTTTTCTACTGTGTTTCACTGGAGTCACATGTTGTCTTTAAACTGAGTGGAAATATACAAAATCAAGAAAGAAACAATAAAGGTATGTTGGAAACCAAGGTTGACACATCAAAACATCACTGAGCGCATGTAAGAAACAAAGCTGATCATGAGCAACCAGTAGCATCAAATGGGTTAGACGCTACAATTAGGTAGAAAACTGTTTGACTCATCAGCAACACCTGACCTGAATTACAATTGCCCTTATATAACACCCTAGCGGCAATGAAAAGAAAAAGTAAAACTAAAACAAACATGACTCTTACTCAAGGCTCCCCGTTGGGGAATCAAACCCCGGTCGACCGTGTGACAGGCGGGGATACCCTCCACTATACTAACAATTAGATGTTAATCTCTATCCTGCTTCAGCAGATAGAGTAAAACAAAAAGATGCCGTGGCTTCTTAGGGGTATGAGAAATAACTTCTGGGCTGCTCCTGTTTACTGTTTTTTTCTTACTTAGGAGCTTTTTCCTCTCATAGTGTAAAATTAAAAATGTTGGCATAGCAGTTTTATCTCACCGGAAACATGACACCTCACAAATTCACTGATTAAAAACAGTAACTACACGTCTCTCTCATTTTCTGAAAGGAAAAAATACCTGATAAACCCCTAGCCGCTTAGAATTAAATCTGTTCAGATGCAACTTTCCTTCCAACATGACTGAGCAATTAGAGCCGTAGTATTTCTATCCTGGTACTCTTGTTTTGTCCATGGTTCTTGGGCGCGATCCTGAAGATGAAACATACCTTTTGAAAATAATGTTACTCAAATGCTACCTCTACACAACACAGGGTTAACATTTATATTAGCTCCTGTTATTTTATAGTTTGCCATATATTAATCTTTCTTCCAGCGTTTCCTCCGTGGGGGCCCGCTGCCTCGGGGGTGGTGGTCAACGGTTGTTGCCTGGGTACTCTCTGGGTAGTGCTTGGGTGGAGGTGGGGCCCATGCCCTCCCTCCCCTTTGCACCCAGCCTTGGCTGCTTCGGTTACCTTGCTGCAACCAGGGCAGATGGCTTGATGGCAGATGGCTGTTTCCTTGCGCCACCATATTTGGATTATCTGAACTCAGCCCAAAATCATTTTTACTAATGTTCTTAAATGGATGTGTATGTGAGTTGGGGGGTATGTTATAACCGTGCCAATGCTTTTAATTGGCGTGGGAGGTATAGCAATGGGGGTTATGCAGGGTCATTTTAATCTGCAAAGCACTTTGAGTTGCACTCTTTGTGGGAAAAGTGCTTTATGAATAAATCCAAAGGATTCTAATGAAGGCAACGGGACTTCTTTGGTTTCTTGAAATCATTTTGCTTCTCATCCGAGGAGCTTTGTTAATTCCATCTGGAATATGGGAGAGTCAAGCTTATAAGCTGTAGCTGTCTGTTGTTATTTAACAAGCAGAAACTACTCTGGGTACCCCTCCTCTCCATCCCCTGATGAGTCATTAGCCTCTATTGAGAAGGAGTCGTTGTGTTGATTAGATGCAGGAAGGTGTGACCTAGACTGAAACCACTTAGGAATGAGATTCAAGGCTGCATTATAGGTACTGAAAAGGTGAAATCTAAGCCCCCCCCCCCCCCCCCCATTTAAAGTGGGGGTTTCCATGTTTGACATAGCTTATTTTACGCCGCTCTCAAACCATCTATCTTCTGTGTCCAGAATGTGTACTTAGTCATTTTCAAAAGTGTGTCCCTTGTCCTTTAGGTGTACGAGGACTGCAGAGTCTTGACCTGAAGAGGTGGCTTTCCTGTGTTGTGCCATGTGATTGTGTAATTGTTGTTTAGTTTCCCTGATGTAAAGATCTGGACAGTCATCACTACATTACACTGCATAAACGATGCCAGTGAGCTTCTGTTTGGGTGTCGTGTCTTCTGGATGGACCAGTTTCTGTCTGAGGGTGTTGTTGGGTTTAACGTTTACTGGGATATTGTGTTTGGAGAAGATTCTTCTAAGTTTCTCTGAGACTCCTCCACATGTGGGAGGACGGTGCCTTTGCACCTGTTGGCCTTTTCTTTGCTAGTTGCTGCTTTGGATGCTTTTCCAGACTTCTTTGTAGATTTCACAAAGGCCCAGTTAGGATATCTGCAGTTTTGGAGAGCGTTCTTCATGTGTTTCTCTTTCTTTTGTTTTCCTTTAGTCTTTGTGGGAAGGTTCTCAGCCCAATGGGATAAAGTCCTGATGACTGGCATTTTGTGCTCCAGTGGGTAATGTGAGTCGAAATGCAAATACTGGTCTGTGTGAGTGGGTTTCCTATAGATTTCAATGCCGAGACTTCCATCTTGTATATAAAGTTTGACTGCTGACTGATTAACAAATCAGAGTGTCAATACCAACCTGAAGAGTTACTGATGGCGAATGTCTGGTTCAGTAACATCAATGTCCTCGCTGACCACACACACACACACACACACACACACACACACACACACACAGAGAGAGAGAGAGAGAGAGAGAGAGAAAGAGTGTTAGAGAGAGACAATAAACTAAAAAGCAGCTATTTTCTTGTGCTTGATTTTTGACAATTAAGCCCGGAAAACCCAGAGAAAGGAAGTACCTGTCAGGTTGGTGGACAGAAGGATCAAAGTTTCACAAGTTAATTCAACTGTAGAGACATGTCCACTCAGCAGCAAACACACACAGACAACCTAAAAATACACATATAATAAGATGTTAGCAGCAAACACAGCAAAGTTTTAAACACAGAAATTTGCAGTATTAAATATTAAAAAGAAATCCACTATTAAATGAAGTTTTTATTTGTTGTTAGTAAATATACCTTTATATAACATTAATATTGCAATAATAAACCCTTGCCAGTAGATCCTCCACCAGAGGCCAGTAGACAAGTACTGGATATTGCAGTTTATTTTTTATTTTTTTGGTGAATGCACTAATCCCAATACTTCATCTTGCCACTGTAATGCCAGAACTAGTTTAAATAGATAAATAACCCTTTAAATAGGCAGCAAAATTATAGAAAAATCAGGTAATCCTTAACGAGAAAAAAACATAGATGGGAGGAGGGAAACAAACATCCCTCTAATGACCTCAGTGAGCAGCCTGAAGCTACCCAAGGACCCATGCAACTCAGACAGCAGCGAGTCAATGAAAATCACCCAACGTTGGTGTTCTAGGGTTAACCCAAGAGGGAAATTATATGCTGAATTTTTTTTCACAGTCATTGTGTCTGCTTCCATCTGTGAGCAGGAAGGAACTTCTGCTGCTGCACATCTGAAGAAGAACCAGACTGAACACACTATTGTTCAATACACCATCGTGAAGAGGATAATCACGGTACTCAGTCTTGTTTATTTCATGAGAGACAGTGGCTCAGGAGGCTATCAATCTAGAGGGTTGCTGGTTTGTTCCCATATAGGTCATCCCTCAATCTACTGCTGTGTCCTTGGGCAAGATACTTCACCCACTATCCTGTCTCTGTGTAGGTCTATTTGAACAAATGTGTCTCCCAAATGCATAAACATAAATGTATGAAGCCTCCCCCTTGGTGGAGTCAGCTCTAGAGACTCCGGGTCAGTCCCCAGAACAGAACCAGCCTTTTGTTCAGCTACTACAACCTATTTATATTCCCCCGTGATGAAAAAGTGTTTGATATAATTCTCTTTGTAATAAAATCCACAATCATCCTTTTAGTTCTATTCACATTTAAGATTACATGATTGTTGCCATAACAATCCCAAAAATGGCCCACCGGTACTTCTACCGTTTTTTGTCCATCTCCGATGAATCCAATAGCTAGAGTAATCTGATTATTTCTGCAGATAAAAGGATTCTGAAATGTACTGAAAATGTGTTCAGAGTAAAAAGCAATGAGAGGACATTCCTCTGGTCAGACACACACTGCCCATCAGAGAGCCACTAATCCAGGACGTGATCCTGCTTTGTTTATAAGCTAGACATTCTGGATGAAACTCATACTTTCTGTGCATTAGTAATTGATTTTACAACAAGTATTGATGATAATAATTACACAAACACCAGTTGGGTTTGATAGAAGAGCTCCTGGACTTGGTTTCTTAGTCTTCATAGATTCAACTGATCTAGAGCTAATACACCTGCCAATAAGAAGTTCTTAATTTTTGGATTGGAGACGTATTGATGAGGAAACAAAAACAACGCTCACGCACTGCAGCGGCGCGCCCCCGTCCTACCTGACTCAGGACTTTTCGCTCCATCTCTCCTTCATTCAGATGCTCGGAAGCGCGCGCTCTGGCACGCAGCGCTCCTGCTCAGAAGTTCTGCGCGCTCAGGTCCTGTTCGGGTCCACCACATGTCGGACAGGGCATGGGGGAATAAACAGCTCATCGCCCACCAGTGGCAAGAAAAAAGATCCGACCCGAACTAGACCGGATGCGATGGAACCTGGTTAAGATGGAGAAACAGAGGGGTCAGACTCGAGTCTCACCTGGTTCCGACCCGGGTTTGGCCTGGGCAGTGATGAACCCATGTGAACGCATCTACGGTGAACACTAAAGTGGAGAGGCTCAGGGTGCCGATGAGGAGAAGGATGTAGGGCTCGAGCCAATCAGAGCAGAAGATGGGGGCGGGGTCTGACCCAGGATGAGATGAGCCCTGATGCCTGATCGATACGAGCCAATCAGAAGAGATTTACTCACCCAACTCTGATGACCATCAATACAGAGCGATCGTGTTTGCTGTAAAATTGTCATTTTACTGTCACGTGACTGTTCAAAAGTTAGCGCACGAAGGCGTTCACCTTTCCACCTGGCTCTCCTCACTCTCACCTGTCTCAACCTGCACGATTCTCTTACGCCTCCTTCACCTGCGCCTCACATGTCCTTTAGCTGTTCCCTATTTTAACTTCTCTGTCCCTCATCTGCCCCATTCTCCTTCAGCCTCTCACCTGTACCTCACCTCTCCCACGTGTTTTGAGGATGGGAAGAATATTTATGATGAAACAGCTGGCGTTTCTGAACCCTGCTAATCACGTTGTGATCATCTCATTGATCAATTTCCTGTTGGCTTTTGTCATTTAGTTAGTTAGTCCAGCTGAGACGGATTAGACGGATGTTAAATCGGCCTGGGTTCAGTTAAAAATAAACTTTTGGGACTGATATAACAGTTATGTTCTGTTTCTTCAATCACACTCCTGCCAGTAAATGGGCCAGGTTTAGAGACGTATTACTGGGCAGCAAATTAGACAGAACGCTTTGATGCGGTTTCTTCAAGGAGAACGTGATGAGGATGAGAAAGAATGGGAAGAAGAACAAGAGGAGGGATTTAAGTGGCTCTGCTGACATCTTCTGGACACAATCTTAACTACATAGTTGAAAATTAAACATTTCAGTAGGTGAAACATAAAAAATGACGAATTATTAATTAAGCAGAAACAATAAAAAAGATAAATATTTTGAAGACTATTTGGATGGAAAATGCAGAAATCAAAGACTGTTGTGGTTACATTAATCTAGTGCAGTTTCATAAACAACTGTGGGTCCTCAGAAGCCAGGATAACTCAAGAGTGCCGTCCCCTACATCAAGGCTCCTGACTTGTGTGTGCCTTGTTCAGTTCCTTTGTCTAGTGCTCAGCATTCCTCTGACATGGTTCTCCTTGTTGCAGGCTTCTCCTTGGTTCTACTGTTGATATCTGCTCCAGGCTGCCTGCTGGTGGAGGGAGCTGTGGAGTGGAGTGGAGAAGACCTGACATGGTGGAGCTGGGGTCCAGCACATTTCCTGCATGTTTTAGATCATGAACACAACTGATTTATTGGATTTAGTGATGAATCACTCATGTAGACACCAATGAAGGCTGAGGAGACATTTCAGCTGTTAGATGTTAAAAAGACGAAGCACAGAAATAAGATACGCTTCGTTTTGGGTTTAACTACAGATCATTTATAACAGACACTAGGGTGCAGAAAGCAAGCAAAACTGCCAAGTATCCCTTTAAGAATAAAGTCATCATGTCCCATTTTTTGGGGACAAACCTGAACTTGAAGATGGTCTGAAAGCAACATGATAAGGATGTTTGACAACAGGAGGAGCATTAGACCTGCATTAATTGTGTCAAGGTGTCCTGGTTTAGCACCACTCACTCCTTCTAACGAACAGTTGGTTGACAACAGACTAGCCTGATTGGTGGGGAACAAAAACTCATTCAATTGTCCATTAACTGTCTCTGATGAAGTTGGTGCTTCTCCAGACCCCACTGTGTCATCAGAGAATTATTACAAGTCAGAGAGTCTCCCAGTTTCTTTTTGGTTAAACTACAACATCCTACCAAACCCAAGTCTTTTGGTGTACTGCAGTGTACTCATGGGTAAGTCCTAGGCCCTCCCCTTTCTTCTGCTCACTTCTGTATTCATTTTCACTAATAGTGTGCACATGGATTGTTTAACATGAACAAATGAGAGTCTGATAGCAGACCAATTAATTGTACCAAGGCGGACTACGTCCACTGGTACAGGATTCTGGTTTTGTTAAATGAATGACTTAGTGTTCTGTCTTAGTTTTTGGATCTGCTAAGAACCAGAAGATCACTTTCATGTCTTAATTTCAAAGCATCAGAGGTGTTTGATTAAATGTAATTTTAAAGAGCAAGTCACCCTGCTACAAAAGTCTTACTCTACTCACTTGATGTTCGAAAAATGCGTCAAAAGGAGACCTGGCAAACCAAGAGTGCAGTGCTGTAGTAGTGACCAGCAACACCCCTCACACCCTCAATCCCCACATCCCCAACCCACCCGCGCCTCTGCTCAAAGATTTTCTGTTGGCAACTGAGCCGCCAGAGCACCTACACACACACACACACACACACACACACACACACACACACACACACACACACACACACACACACACACACACACACACACACACACACACACACACACACACACACACACACACACACACACACACAAGCAGGCCTCCTAGTCTGCAGGATTTCTCTCCGTCTCCTTCTCCAAGGAAGAGGGGAGAGGGAGGCATGTTTTTGGAGGAGGAGAGCAGCCCTGAGTCGCATCACTGAGTATCGACCTTTGAGTGGCCAAGTTAGCTGTAGGCATGGCCAAGACTGGCTGCAGTTCAGCCATGTCAGAAATATTGACTAATGTAGAAAATACCTGCTTAGCCAATAGCGATGGCTGATTCACACTGAAAAGCAGAGCAGAATTTTAGGCTGAAGTGAAACTACACTGATGATGATATTCATATTAAACACAATTCATTTAAATGCTAAAATAATGACTACACATGTCTACAGCACCATTAGACACTCAATTATACAGTTTGTTGGCAAAACAGTTTACTTACGGGTGACTTGCTCTTTATTCCACATTTCTTTTCAAACCCACACAGATGAATGATAATGAATGAATGAATGAATGCTGATTAAAAATGGCTCAGTAATCCCATCAGGCTTCAGTGGTTGTATCAGCTTTATTTAGGGTTTTGTTACATTGTGAGACTTTGTGAGTGTTGTTTCAGAACAAGATCCTGGAGCTGCTTTAGAAACGTAAGAACTCCCTAATAGCGGCATCAAGGCAACCTGCTGACATTCTTGTCACTACTTCTCGATGGTCCTCTTCATCCTGAAATGTCAGTGTGGCACAGGGTCAGAAATCAGAGTGCTGAATCTGTCACACAACTCTCATGTTGCTGAGGGATGGATGGTGAAAGTTACTGACCTGTTTCCATTTCCTCTCTCTCTCTCTCTCTCTCTCTCTCTCTCTCTCTCTCTCTCTCTCTCTCTCTCTCTCTCTCTCTCTCTCTCTCTCTCTCTCTCTCTCTCTCTCTCTCTCTCTCTCTCTCTCTCTCTGTGTGGTGTGTGTGTGTGTGAGTTGTTAGAACAGACAACAGAGCTATTCAGTTCATCTCAGCAGCTGAAACAGGCTGAATGATGAAGATCAGCTCTCATCTTTAGGTCAACACAAGGACATAATGTCATGTCTAACACAAAACATCTCCACTGGAATACTGAAACACATCAAATCTGAATCCCTCGGAAATCTGAACATCACTGACCATCTGTCCTGTTCAGACTTGATTTCCTTCACCCAGGCTGCCTCATGGTTCAGCTTTAAAGTCTCCTCTTAGCTATGGCTGACTTGGGTTTTTCTGGCTCATCCCCTTATTTGTGCTGCTGAGACTGATGGAGGACTTTATCGTCATTCTGCTGTCTTTAGCTATTCTTCAGGGTTTTCATACCCTCGGCTGATTGTTTTAGAACTAAATTTGAACTGACTGGTCAGTCAGGTGTCTTCAGTCCTCACACACTACCCTATCCATCAGTTGTAAAATGCATCCCCGTCTCCTGTCATTCAAAAGTGGTGCCATGAGGCCAAGTTCACAGGTACCAAGATGTTGGGTTTTTAAATCAGAGACCTGGCACTCTAAATGTGCCAGGTCTCTGAAAAAAGTCATTTTCAATCTTTTTTTTTTTTTTTTACATCACATTACTAATTCCAGAGCCCTGAGCATCTGGCAACATAGTGAGTAATGTGGAGCATCTGAAAAGGGATCTGAGGTAATTTTATTTTTTTTTTTTGGCTTTAGTCAGGAAAAATTCCCATCAGTTTACGTGGAAGGCTTAAAGCAGGAACCACACCCTGGGTTCTGGCATGTAATGTTTGGATATTTAGTGATTATTTAAATAGTTGATGGTTCCACCTGATTAAAACTGTAAACATTGTTCCTCTCGGTGAGTGAGAAGCAGTGAAGCAGGTTATCGTGATGCTGCTTCTACTTAGGTGGACTCTGGTGTTAAGGTCAAAGCTACGATTCAGTACACACATGCAGATACAATTACCAGCTGTGCTAAAGAACTGAGATTATTCCTGGCAAGTTTCAGTGATGCTTTAATTAGAAAAGGAGCTTCAGAATAAATACCCAGAATAAATTACTTATTTTCAATGATCCCAAACAAGCCGCCATCTGCCTGGTTTAGGTCTCTGGACTCCTCAATCACTAAATTCCTTTGGCAGGATAAACCTCCACGAATTAGCTTAAAAATGCTTCAGAAGACCAAAGATAGAGGGCTGGATCTACCCAACTTTTATCATTATTTCTTAGCCAACAGGCTGCAGTATATACCAAGATGGTTGCAAGATAATCCACTAGATGAGTCCTGGTTAGCTGTAGAACAGACACTTTGTAATAAGATAGAGCTTTCAGACTTACCATTGTAACGTACAGGAATGGTCAGTTTTCACCTACAGATTGACCTACATGCCACTGGTCAGCTACAGACATCAATTCCATTCTCTAAGGTAGATTTTACATTCTACCTTCCAACAAGCCCAGAAGGTTCTGCAGCTCTGAACACATGATAACATATTGTCAACAAACTGTTCCCGTTTCAAGGCCTAAGCTTCCCTCATCGCTTCTACAGGATTCCTCATGCCTCTGAATAAAGTGAACACTTTTACAACTCATACGTTAAATAATCATTAAACAATAATATGGTTGAATGAACAAATTCTATATGAATACTAATGAAATGTTTTGATTAATCAGTGCTTAAATTACGGTGGTTGAACTAAATTTTATAATTCCCATGAAACGTTTTGGTTTTATGATCAGTAATGTTTGATTTAACAAGTGAATCATTATCTACACTCAGACACAATGTTCATTAGAGATAAATTAAAGTTAAAGTTACGTCACTGCACATAGATATTTTCTCAGTCACAAAGCAGAGCATCCTGTGTGTCTGAAAGAAGGCGTGATGACCTTGGGGGGCGGACAAGTCAGGGGTGTGGTCATGGATCCCATTTCTGCATTCCTGTGGCAGCCAGGCTGCCCCCCATTTGCACATTAAACACTTCCACCAACGACATTCCATGCAAACACATACTTAGGGCCTTGGGAGTGAGCACATTCAACGGCATTTGGCATGGGGATCTTTTAGCCTCATCCCGAGAGCCGGTGCCCACTTCCAATTTTGAACTGAACTTAGACACCGAGGGCTGTGGGGGAAAGTGGAGTTGTGTGGTTGCATCAGCTGGTGTAGGCCAGACGGTGCCTGCACTGCCCGCTCACCACAGCCATGGAATACACCTCATCAAGACAAACTAACACTGTATTGGAGCAGGAGGAGGGAGACTAGGGGGTCTTGGCACACCTCTGTTGTAGCTTGGCTTCCCGGGGCTGGAGGCTAGGAGGGGGAGCTGGCTGGCTTGTTGGGGTCTGGGGTGGTGGGGTGTTTTGCTCAGCGTTGGGCGGGGATGTCTGCTCATCATCACCCCAGCAGAAAGGGGCGAACTCTGGGAACCGGTGATGGTTGTACCCCTTGTGCAGCAGTACCGGGACCAGAGTGAATAGGGTTAGGGTGAGTGGGTGTCTAGCGTTCATTTTTGTAAGTCTTAGGTTGTATGTGTATGTGTGAGCATGAGGGAGGGAGTGTGTGACTGTGTCTGTGTATGACTGTATATGTCAGGTGGGGTCTTGGACTCCTCCCCTCTCCTGGGACTTCTTGTGCTACTACACATCTTCGCCTACCCTCCCCCTGCCACATTTGGTGTGGAGTGCGGTGCCTTGGTCTGCCTGAGTGTTTGCGGCTCCCGTGTCGGGGGGTTTAAGATTTTTGGAGTCTGCCTGATCGATCCCGGTGGTTGCCTGGTGGGATCTGAGTCTCTGGGCTCTGTTGGGTCCCCGGTGGTGCTGGTCGCTCCTGGGTTCCGGGTCGCTGGGTCCCGGGCTCGGCCGGCTTGGGGGTGGGAGGCAGTGGGCGGGCCTGTGGGCTTGCCACTGATATCTCCCAGCTGCTGGTTGTGACCCCCCCGGGGCAATCCTCTGCGCCTCTCAAGAGGGGGCTGGGGCTTTTCTGGTTACAGTCTCCCTGGGATCCCTGCGCTCTGGGGCAGCTCCTGGATCTCTGGGACTTGGAGCTCCCTTCATTTCCTACACATCTTTGGGGGGCAGATCTGTGGCCCCTCACACTCTTTATTGGATGCTCCTATAGAGAAACCTTACCTCTGCAAGCGTGTGTATGCACACAGGTGCTCACATGGTGCTCTCATAAGTATGGACTTGGGCATTTTCAACACATGTCGTAAGGCTGTGGTTGGCACTAAATGCACTGTGATTTATTATTGTGTGATTGTTCAGTAAAACAATGTTGATTTTATATTTCTTCATCAAGTTGACGCAGTGATAGCTTGCTCCAGTTGAATTGTTGTGTGTCCCTTTTCTGCAGGTCTAGAAGCAGACTCTAGTCATCATTGATAGTTTATCTTTGTGGAGGCTGCTAATCTGCTAAATTGCTTCAGCTGTGTTGCTGAGCGTCTTTATAGAGTTTTTTGCAGAAAATCTCATGAAGAAGTCACAGTTAAACCCACTTGACCCAGGCCTTGGTCCCAGAATAGGCCCGACTCGCTTTGTATTTCTTCCATAGTTGTGATGCAGACTTTGTTAACCTGAGTTCCACATGTTTGGAACCCTTCCCCCAGTAGCGTACCAAAAGGTCAAGTAAAAAAAAAGAGCAGAAATTAACTTAATTTGCAGACACAAACTGCATCACACATCCAGGGATGCATTACGTCTGTCTGGCTCCCAAACAAGAAAAGCAAGGGCCTACAACGTGTAGCCAAATAAGTAGCTATAATATGTGCTTTCCTTATCTTGGTTGGAATAAAACGAGACTTTTCTGCACTTTCACTCTGAATAAAGTTCATATTCCTTGAATTATAAATGACTTTACGACTTTATAGGTTGATACAATCGTCTCTTGTTGAATCCCAAAGTGTTTGAATAATCTGTGCATTAATCAATGATGTGTTAAAATGAATATTTTTCCTGCAATGATTCATTTCAGATCTTAAACTACACCAGATCAGTATTTGTTGGTTTAACAAGTTAATCTATCAGTATACTCATACATTATAAGATTAATATTAAGGATTTTACATTCACTTCACATAAATGTGTAAAAAAACATTTACACTTCACACTAAGAGTTAACCTCTGAGTAACTGAGGAAAGGCGTGACGTTTTGAGGTATTTCGGTAATGCCTTTTAAAAGTGTCAAATTCTGATTAGTCTAAGTTTATAAACAATGAAGTTGATTAAACAGGAATCAATTCCTGATCTAGTCAGTCTTCGCCGTTCACTTGATGAGACCAATGGGGTGAACAAGCATTTTGAGACCATCCTATCTTTCAACTTCAAGGTCAAAGCCTCTCTGCAACGCCTTTGAGTTATGCCCAACACAACGGGCCTGTTGAGAGCCACCGAACAGCCTTATATGCAAAAAAGACACTCCAGCTTCCTGCCGTCACCTGGAGATAACCCAGACTAGAAGGGTGATATTCTGGGCTGACTACGAGCTCTGGTACCAGAGGTCCACACCATCAGCAGTGTCCATCTCAACCTCTTGACCCCCTGGATTGAGGATCTTCACACAAGGGTGTGTAGACTGGCACAAATTGCATCGGATGGTTTTATAAACAAATTTCTAGCTTATCAAACCATACAGCCCAATTGATTTTACAACCCAGACTCCACAATCTCTTTTAGATGTTTAAGAAAGGTTTTGCTAAAACATCTAGCTCACGTTGCATCATTTCATTCATACTTTGTCATGTACAATCATTTAATGTAGGAAATAGAAAAATAAATTTTTATAACTATATTCGTGACTCTGTCTGAATTAATATGAAGTGTGTGGTCCCTGAATAAGTCAGAGACTAAAGTCTTCTGATTAAATACTCAAAGACCAATCAGACTGATATTTCATGTTTATGTGGAACATCACATCTTATTGATCATTTAATACATATGTAGCCAATCCTTAACACTACACCCAACAGCAGCTGGATTAAACCATCACACACTTTTTAGAGTATTTTTACTCACCTATTACATATAACTTTAATGTTTTGGTGTGTTTCAGGTGACTCAGTTGGTTTATCTGGTTCCCCCATAGCATGTGAAAGACCAAGTTTCCTAAAAGAAAAAAAAAAACAATCAGAGCATGTTTGCTTTAACACACATATGTGCTGGCACCTGCAAGCTAGCACCACCCATCTTTGTGCTGGCCCTGCCCACTTGTGTTAAGGCACCACCCACCTGTTGATCGCCTGAATTTTATAAAAAGCAGAGACATACAGTCAGAAACAGACCAAAGGAACTTCCCTCATTGCCAGTAGCATACCTGTCATCTGCCCCTGTGGAACGCTAAGGTAAGTTCTGCTATCAAGTGATTCCTCGTGGCATCTGGATGAGTCCAGGTGTGTCTAGATGTTTTCAGGAAGAGTCCGGATGTGTCCTGGTGAGTCTTGGGGAAGCTAGGTGTTTATAGTTGAGTCTAGTCTCTTTGATGTGCCCAATTATGTCTAGATAAATTCAGTGAGTCCCAGTTTACATAAGTTTAACCAGCTGTGCCACGAATAGATCCAAATTTTAAAAGTCATTCAAACAAGGTTTTAAAAAACATTTTATATCATATCATTGATATGATGCACACACACACACACACACACACACACACACGCACGCACGCACACACACACACACACACACACACACACACACACACACACACACACACACAGATCCTTTCCAGCTCTCCCCTCAGTGGTCTGATGAGACTGAAGGAACAGGGAATTGGTAAAGAACATAGTTTTGATGAAGAATCCAACTGATCAGAAACACTGGATGACAAACTATTTGGGGAGTATACTGTCATAGCTGCTAATAACTCAGTCAAACCTCCGAGACAAGAGGTAGAATGTGGTTTCTAAATTTTATATTAGAGGGATTGTGCTATATTGGTCCCGTTAGATGTTGTTATTCAGTGTATTTCATGCCAGAGGCTTAAACATGATACAGGGAAACGTGAGCTTTAAGGTAGGTAAGAAGACAGTTAGGATGGGAGGAGGGTTAGTAGTCTGGTTGGTAGGAAGGTAGGTGATCAGGCTGGTAAAAGAATTGATTGGAAGGTATGTCAGGTCGATAGACTGGGCGTTGGGTATGTTGGTAAGCAGCTCTGTAGGTTGGTAGGAAAAAAGTTAGATTTGTAGAATATTATAGGTAGGCTGGTAGAGAGGTAGGTGGGATGGTAGTTAGATAACTCACTCACTCACTCACTCACTCACTCACTCACTCACTCACTCACTCACTCACTCACTCACTCACTCACTTATGCATGCACATGTATCACATATGGATCTATGTTTTGCTCACCTGCTCATCTGATTTCAGCTGTGATGATGTTCGTCTCTCGTTGTCTTCGTCTCATCCTGCGTGATGTCCTCAATCCATCCTGCTTACATCACTTCCTACTGGAATTTGTAGGCACCACCCTCTTCCTGTGTATTAGCTTATCGGCTGTCCTGATTAAACCTGACCCGGGATCCACTGCCAGTTCAAACAATCAGAGCCACCTGTTTGCAGGTGTTCTACCTGGACTCGTAGCTGTTTCACCCACGTGTCCTCTGCAGGTGGCACTTGTCTTTGGTCTGTCTGTTGCAGTAGCAGCACTCTGTGTGGGTGGGGCAGCTCACTTAAACCCAGCAGTTTCCATAGCAATGGCTCTGACCTTAAGACTCCGCCTGTGGAGAGCTGCGCTGCATATAATTGCTCAGCTTTTAGGGGGTGTGGCCTCTGCAGCACTTCTGATGGGACTGACTGGCAATGTGACACCTGCTCTCAACCAGGTGAGTATCATTCTGATTCCTGATATCCAGGTAGAGAGTACAGTGTTTTGAATCACCAGTTTGTCTTCAGGTGTCCTCTGGAGTCCGGCTCCACCAGGCAGTCATCGTGGAAATGCTTGTGACCCTTCAACTGGTCCTGGTTGTCATGGTAACAGCTGAAGTCCCCATGTCAGCAGCAGCAACTCCTCTGTTGGTTGGTCTGGCTGTCAGTCTGGGTCACCTGGTGGCCGTAAGTCTCGCCCAATGTTCACAACATAACAGGAGACAGGTGTGTGTTTTATGTGTGTGTTCCCTCTCAGGTGAAAGTAACTGGTTGTGGGATGAACCCAGCCCGGTCTTTCGGTCCAGCTGTCATCACTCTCAATTTCAGCAACCACTGGGTCAGTGTAACTTACACAGTGATTCTCTGACATGATAAATTAGGTGGGGCATAACTGCTCAACAAGCGTGCATACACACATACAACCGCTGTGCGCTATAGCGTGTGCATAATAACGAGTGCGCACACGTGAGTGTGTAAAATTTGAAGAGCGAGCCAACTCACCACTGTTGTTCTTGAAGGTTGATCTGTTAAAGTCCCATAATCCCAAAAGTTTAATCCAGCAACCTTCCATCCGCCGGTGCTCCCCTCTCCCCTCCTTCACTTCCTCTCCCTTTTTGCACTGCCAGTGCTGCCCTTTGATAATATTAGTTAAAGCCCTCTGGTTTCAGCTCTAATTTTTGTTGAAGTGACAAAGTTCTCTTCATTATTTCTGTTCCTTCTTGTTGTTTGCTAAACAGCATAACCAACATGGCTGCTGCTGTCCCACAGAACAGAAACATTGGCTCACATGTGCTTTTCTCATCTACTGAATGGAGGATCTGCGCTAGGGGCCGGAGTCTCCAGGCCCTACGGCTTACCATTGAGAATGAGTTGAGCATGCGTACTGCATTTTAAAATCATCTTGTGCTTAAAATTGACTCTGATGAGCCAGCACAACAAAGGCTCCTATTTATGTTTTCCAAGAGGATTTAATCCACTGAGTTTATCAGTATCCTAAAAAAAATTAGATATAAACACACAAATGTTTTCAAGAGAATCTTTTAGTGACAGAATAGGTTTTTATGCAATATTACTCTAAAAAAACATTCTGTTCTACTATTATTTTTAAGCAAGCATAGAGCTCCACAGCACCATCTGGTAGGGCCCAGCCCCATTGGCCCCTAACGCCGGGGGTACACTGGCCGCCGAAGTGCCGCGAAACGGGGACCGCCTTCTTTCGGCGCCCTTGTTATCCTATTCTATAGGCCACAAGGGCCGCCGAAGTGCCGCGAAGCGCCAAACGTCGTGCAGCGATTGTTTCGGCGTCTGCTCTATTTTTTTCGCGAGCCGCGGGTGAACTGCGTCAATTCTGGCAGGAAGTCAAGCCTAGACATAAGAGCTAGGCCGGTAAATTTAACAAAATAAAGCATTTCAACATACAATTCCACACAATACAATTTAGTCAAATGTGTTTGTAAACAGACGCTGCATAAAAACTACACGAACACACACACACAGCAAACTTGTGTGTGCGTGTGTGCGTGTGCGTGTGTGTGTGTGTGTGTGTGTGTGTGTGTGTGTGTGCGTGCGTGTGTGCGTGTGTGTGACCACGTGAAGGTGACCACGTGAAGGGGGAGTGGTTTTGGGTGTCTTTCAACCGGAGCAAACAGGACAGAGAGGCAGAAAGTTGTAGGCCAGCTATTAACAACTGGTTCACATCATAGGTTCACACACACACACACACACACACACACACACACACACACACACACACACACACACACACACACACACACACACACACACACACGCACGCACGCACGCACACACGCACACACACACACACAAACAGCAAGGGGGAGGGGGGTGTCAAGGAAAAGAGCAGAGAAAAGGCGGAGAGGAAATGGAGGACACCAAGTGGTTAAAAGAAAAACTACGAGGCGCACCTCGACCGGAGCGGAGAAACAAGCGTCTGGTCTGAACTGAGGAGCAGCGGCCGAATTTCGTGAGCGCTTCGGCGTTCGGTGTGTCCCCGCCCGGTGTAAAGTGGAAACGTCACTGGACACACACACACACACACACACACACACACACACACACACACACACACACACACACACACACACACACACACACACACACACACACACACACACAGAATGACATCTGTTCGGTGTGCTCTCTGCAGGTTTTCTGGGTAGGGCCAGTTATGGGGGCGTGTCTCGCTGCCCTCTTGAATGACCTTTTGCTGCAACAGCGCTGGTGCTGCGCTGGAGACTGGTGGAAAGAGCTGAAACAGCTATATGTACTGACAGACAAACAGCAGCAGAGGGCGCCGCCATAGCACACTCTTGTGGAGAAAGCACCTGACTTGGACAACATGGCAGTAATAATCTCTTTATACTTGTGGAGAAAAGGGACGTACTTGTGATGTGTTATGAAGCTGCATATTCAATAAAACCCCATGTTCATTTATCAGTGACATTTAACCTTGCTCACACACAGCAGGTCAAACTGGACCTTATGTGGGACATTGCTTTCAACTGTGTTTTACGCTCTAAATAATGCCTGACACTCCTCATATACATGATTGTATGTGTCACACAATTTCTTAGCTACTTTTCTTTCAAGATTTTTAAAATAAAAGAGACGCTGGATGTGGGTAAGAGAGCTCCTGGATCAAGGCTGGGTTTATTAAGTAAAGGTTTAATTACAGAAACCTTAAAGGACTGAGGTTCATAACGGAGGTGCTATTTAAGGGAAAACACCTCCTTAAACAGACTGGTTTTGATGGGATCCAGCTGGCATGTTGATGGTTTAGATGAGGCTTTTGCTTCTGATAACTCAGACAGAAACTGTCTGAACATAAATTAGGTTCATCTTGCATCTTAATCAGTCTGACTAGTCAAACATATTGAGACTTTTTCCTTAAGTTACTGTAGTATTTGTTTCATATAAAACATTGTTTGTTTGTTTGTTTTTGCATAAAACCCCTCTCACATAAAGCAATTTCTGCAGTTTTATTTGGCTTCAGTACCTTCCAGTCACTTTAAAGAGGTTCTTCACTGAGAAACCAGCATTTTCTTATTATGTTTGAAAATGATTGACTACCAAATGGTAGTGGTTAGAGCTGTTGCCTTGCAGTAAGAAGGTCCTGTGTTCACTTCCTGGCCTGGGATCTTTCTGCATGGAGTTTGCATGTTCTCCCTGTGCATGCGTGGGTTCTCTCCAGGTACTCCGGCTTCCTCCCACCATCCAAAAACATGACTGTTGGTCTGTCTAAATTCTCCTTAGGTGTGAGTGTGTGTGCATGGATGTTTGTCCTGTGTGTCTCTGTGTTGCCCTGCGATGGACTGGCACTCTGTCCAGGGTGTACCCCGCCTGATTGCCCGTTGACTGCTGGCGATAGGCTCCAGCCCCCCACGACCCTATGTGGACAAGCGGGTTCAGAAAATGGATGGATGGATGACTATCAAATGATAGACAGTGAAAATCGAGCATTTTGAAAAAAACCTGACAGATCTACATCACACTGTCATTTAAAGCTTCTTTCTGGATCTTTACCCCTTTCAGAAATGATGTATGATTTGTCAGAAATCCGTGAAAATGATTATCTCCTATACTGTGATATATATAAGCAATATGTCTTTTTTTTTTGCTAAGCACGCCCCCTGCCCCACAGAGCTCCGTGCATTAGGAAAGTTAGCGCCAACCAGAACTAACCAATAGCGTTAGACTACCGCTTACTTGCTTCAAATTTAAGGAATACCTCTGCTGATGCAGAGTTGATGAACTTTTCATGGACAAGTAAGTCTCTAAATTATATATGAGAACACAACATTACATAATACTTGTAAAACAACGTGTGATAGCTGTTTGTCGGCTACAGAAGCACATTTATAAACAGAAACGTGAAGTCGCCATCTTAAACAGAGCAACAATTTTTTTTGTATGATATGTTTGTCAGCCACTAGATGGTGCCATCGGATAACAGGAATACTCCAGAATGAAGCTTTAATGTTCAGGCATAGCCAGAAATCCGGTGGGCCAGGGGGGGACATGTCCTCCCCTTGCATAAAGTTGCAAACTCCCTTTTAACAGGAAGAACGGTGAACGCTAGTTAACTAACTTCATCTCACAGCGGAACTCCTCCAGGCTTGCATTATTTGTAGATAAAAAGAATGATAAAACATTAATAATGCAAACCAAATAGAGTCAATGGTAGAGTCACATTACTTTTAGCCAATCTGAGGTGAGAGGTCCAAATATCAGGGAATAAGAATCCAAATCCTATCGTCTGAAATGGCTTGCTTCTCTAGCTGAATACTCTGTGCTGAAACAGCCACACCAGAGTTGTTTTTCCACAGAATGCCACTTAAAAGGCATTAATTCCATATACCACTGCAGATGTATTAAAGACATGAGTGAAGGACTTCTTTAACCCTTTGATGCATGAATTATGAAATCTTCAACCATGATTTTTGTAACGTTTTTTTTCCATTCATCTTTAGGTGTGAATGAAACAAATTTCAACAAATATTTTTAGTAAATTTTTATAATTTACAAATAATTTATTACAAGTCCACCTCAGTGGACAGCATGCATTCTGAACATGAAGTCCAAATGGAGGGGCTCAAGTGCAATAAAGTCTTCAACAGGTGTACTTAATAGCAAAAATAAATAAATTCTAATTTTGAATACCTGTCCACTGTAGTGACCATTATGCATCGAAGGATTAAGAAAACAAACTGTTGCTGGCAACTATCCTCCACCCCCCACTCTTGCTCAGACTGCTATTGGCTGAGAAGCGAATTGGAGATCAGGGATTGGAGAAGAGTCACTGCTCTCCACCAGCAGTTCTTTTTGGGAGGTAGTTCTGTTAAAATTTCCCCTTTTGTGATGTCTTGTCACAAAGGGGGATTTTTTAAAACTGACTGTTTGAAGCACATTATTCCTAAAACCAAACCCTGACAGGATGGTTGCTGACAGAAGGGTGGAGTTTTTCCACATTTTGAGTGTAAATAGAGGCAGAGACCCACATGGGAACACAAAAGGATGCAAAAGGTGAATTTTGCATATGGCCCCTTTAATGATCATTAAAAATTGTGGGGAGGATAGGACTTTCCGCTCAATAAGAGTGCGGAAACAGAAAGATGTACATTTAAATTCTAGTATTCCGTAGGTGTGTGCTATAGGTTCTCTCTCCAGGTCTATTTTGCTTGACTTTTGTTTAAATGTTCTGAATTAAATGGAGTGCTGACCTCCTATGACCTTTAATTATCTTAAAAACTGTTGTAAACAGACAAATTATTAACTAAAATAAAAAAAGTCTTTTAATGTTCGCTTACTGGCTGTTTCAGGGCTGCTTACGCTGTTTGTGTTTGACAGTAAAATTCACGAGGACTTTTTACGATTCTTTATTAAATAAATAGTTTAACAATACAAAAAGACAAGAATATTAACATTTTGAGTTACTGCTGTTTAACATATTTTAGAAATGAGAAGAAAATACATTTCAGTGAAAATATTTTAAATAAATAAATAAATAAAAATAATTTATTCATTCAAGATGATGTAAACAACTCATTAAATATAAAATACTTGGATGACATGTTCTTGTCTTGGTGTGGCTTGGAGTTAGGGGCATGGTCTTCAGTGGGCTCTTGTCCAATTGAAGCAGCTGTGATGTCTGTGCAGAGCGACCTTCAGGACTTTGAGTAGATCTCTCCTCAGAGACTCCCAACCACAGACAGCACTGTCCTGTGGCAAAGAGAAAGTATTTAGTGAACAGAATCAGAATTATCTGAACAATTCACCAGTTCGATTTGCGATCACTGAAACACAGCAGCTCTAAATGGTGTGGGCACTTTTCCCTTTATTTTATAAATAGATCAAGTCACATAAATATATGATTTTAGCCTTGAAACTGGAAAACTGGAAATTAAGTGGAACAGGCTGGTTCCCGACAGACCAAGATCAGGATTAAGCATCTATCTGGATCAGCTGCAGATTCCCCTAAATACAGGACCGCCACACCTTCAGGACATTGAGGCGTGCAAGTCGAATCACAGCTGACCCATCTCACCCTGGACACAGTTTCTTTGACTCGCTCCCATCTGGCAGAAAACTCCGATCCCTTCGGATCAGAACCTCTCATAATAAGAACAGTTTCTTCCCCTCTGCAGTTAGACTCATGAACGTTTCAGTCACATGACCCTGTGTTGTGTTAGCACCTGAACTGACCCGCTCTGACCAGCACCTACACTGACTTGTATATAGCAGCTGCACACACACAAATTAAATGTCAAAATGACTGGCTGCGTCTTTAAATACAAGCAAAACATGTCAAATTAATGCTCTGTGAACACTTGAGACCTCAATATCTTTTTAGCTAGAAACACCATTTAAGGACTCTATCATAGTCTCTATGCATGAGCCTCCTAATCCCAACCATGTTTTCATTAGCTTGAAACATTTATTATCTGGGACGTAATTTTGGGGGGGGGACGGGTGGGACATGTCCCCCCCACTTTTTCAAAAGGCAGTTTTGGTCCCCTGCACTTTTTTCCGTCCAAAAACAATGTTACGCTCCATTAAATGGATTTGGTTGCGCACTAGGACCGAAACGGAAACCGGTTTACTATTAGACCCGCCCAAAAGCTAATCTATTGGCTCTGCTGATACTTGCTAACGTATTATTGGCTGTTGCTGCTGTCACTCAAGTTGTAAACAGTCAGAACGTGCTCACGTTGTTTTGCTAGTTTGGAGCCGCTAGGGAACACCGGTACTGAGTCACATCGTCAACTAGACGCTGTGTAATATCAGAGCTCAGCTCAGCTTCCATTACATAACATTTGAATAAGTGTTCATTTGTGAGTCTTTGGTAGTTAGGCACAGCCAGGAGGCAGCATGTCAAGAAAACGAAAAGTGGATAGAAGAGACTTCTTTCAAAGTCAAAACGTAAGTTGGAACATGTGACAGACCTGCATTAAGCTCAGACTCACCTCCTCCTTCACAAACATACTCAAAACTAACTTTTACAAACTCATCTCCTCCACATAACTGACTCCTCAGACACAATTTATTCGTATTATTATAATAATTATTTTTTATTATTACTATTATCATCATAATTATTATTACTAGTAGTAGTAGTAGTAGAAGTGTAACTTCAAAACTCTTATCATTTAACTTTATTGTAAACCTATCTATTGCAATGCATATTTTCACATTAAAAAGCTCTGAAAAATGAACAGTATCATCATCGTCAACAGATTTTTTTAAGCTTAATGTCAAAGATGTACACTTTTCATTAGATTTATCTTATTTTTTCAATTTTTTTTGTGTGTTGAAATGCAACAACTGTTTAAACACTTTTAAGGGAAAAACATATTTAATATGTTTTTATACACTCAAATGTTAGGGTGATGATCATGTGTAAAACATTAGTTCAGCATGTCCTCTAACACAGCAAA